CCACCTTGGGTAGACCGTCGGGGGATTCTCTGCTGCTGTCAAGGGGGGTGCTTTGTGGGGACTGTTTGCTTACCTCCAGCACCAGCTCATCATCTTCCTTTTTGACCTGAAACCATCAAGGGATTGATCTGATGTATTGCAAAGTAAATAATGTCTTGCCTTAGTTTAGAGGAGCAGAAAAATCTGTCAGAGAAAGGACAACTACCTCAGTATATAATGTGGTAGATGTGAAATCTCTCTCTCTCTGTCTCTCTCTCTCTCTCTCTCCCTCCCTCCCTCGTGCGAGAGAGAGAGAGAGAGAGAGAGAGAGAGAGAGAGAGAGAGAGAGAGAGAGAGAGAGAGAGAGAGAGAGAGAGAGAGAGAGAGAGAGAGAGAGAGAGAGAGAGAGAGATTAATCACAGTAAATAACATGATAAATAGAAAACAGTGTTTTAAACAGTATACATTTGACAGACAGAAAGAATGCGAAAAAAAATTTTCACAAATTTATTTCTATCAATGTGCATTAGAAATTTGCTACAAATATTTGAGTTTTTTTTTTTAAATAACTTTTGTAAATTTGCCAAGGCAGTGGCTTTTTAAGGCCTAAGTATTCTGATTTCAAAATACTATAGCATTTTAGTGTTGACACCATGCACACAACAAGCACTTTTGTATGCATTTATCGGAGAAGACAAGACATCTGAACCAATTAGAAAGAATCAGGAGGGAAGTCTTTCTTGGAAAGTTAGTCAGTCTGGAGCCTCTCTTGAAACATTAGCTATACTGGGGGTCTCTCTTGAAACATTAACTATACTGGGGGTCTCTCATGAAACATTAGCTACACTGGGGGTCCCTCTTGGAATATTAGCTACACTGGGGGTCTCTCTTGAAACATTAGCTACACTGGGGGTCTCTCTTGAAACATTAGCTACACTGGGGGTCTCTCTTGAAACATTAGCTACACTGGGGGTCTCCCTTGAAACATTAGCTACACTGGGGGGTCTCTCTTAGAATATTAGCTACACTGGGGGTCATTGAAGCTACACTGGGGGTCTCTCTTGAAACATTAGCTACACTGGGGGTCTCTCTTAGAATATTAGCTACACTGGGGGTCTCTCTTGAAACATTAGCTACACTGGGGGTCTCTCTTAGAATATTAGCTACACTGGGGGTCTCTCTTGAAACATTAGCTACACTGGGGGTCTCTCTTGAAACATTAGCTACACTGGCTACACTGGGGGTCTCTCTTACTGGGGGGTCTCTCACATTAGCTACACTGGGGGGTCTCTCTTGAAACATTAGCTACACTGGGGGGTCTCTCTTGAAAACATTAGCTACACTGGGGGTCTCTCATTAGAACACTGGGGGTCTCTCTTGAAGCTACACTGGGGGTCTCTCTTGAAAACATTAGCTACACTGGGGGTCTATCTTGAAACATTAGCTACACTGGGGGTCTCTCTTGAAACATTAGCTACACTGGGGGGTCTCTCATGAAACATTAGCTACACTGGGGGGTCTCTCTTGAAACATTAGCTACACTGTGGGGTCCCCTCTCTTGAAACATTAGCTACACTGGGGGTCTCTCTTGAAACATGGCGTCTCTACACTGGGGGGTCTCTCATGAAACATTAGCTACACTGGGGGTCTCTCTTGAAACATTAGCTACACTGGGGGTCTCTCTTGAAACATTAGCTACACTGGGGGGTCTCTCTTGAAACATTAGCTACACTGGGGGTCTCTCTTAAAAAACATTAGATACATATGGGGGTTCTCTTGAAACATTAGCTACACTGGGGGTCTCTCTCTATTGAAACATTAGCTACACTGGGGGTCTCTCTTGAAACATTAGCTACACTGGGGTCTCTCTTGAAAACATTAGACTGGGGGTCTCTCTTGAAAACATTAGCTACACTGGGGGGTCTCTCTTGAAACATTAGCTACACTGGGGGTCTTCTCTTGAAACATTAGCTACACTGGGGGTCTCTCTTGAAACATTAGCTACACTGGGGGTCTCTCTTGAAACATTAGCTACACTGGGGGGGGAAACATTAGCTACACTGGGGGTCTCTCTTGAAACATTAGCTACACTGGGGGGTCTCTCTTGAAACATTAGCTACACTGGGGGGTCTCTCTTGAAAACATTAGCTACACTGGGGGTCTCTCTTGAAACATTAGCTACACTGGGGGTCTCTCTTGAAACATTAGCTACACTGGGGGTCTCTCTTGAAACATTAGTCTCTACATTAGATACACTGGGGTCTCTCTGAAACATTAGCTACACTGGGGGTCTCTTGAAACATTAGCTACACTGGGGGGTCTCTCTTGAAACATTAGCTACACTGGGGGTCTCTCTTGAAACATTAGCTACACTGGGGGTCTCTCTTGAAACATTAGCTACACTGGGGGGTCTCTCTTGAAACATTAGCTACACTGGGGGTCTCTCTTGAAACATTAGCTACACTGGGGGTCTCTCTTGAAACATTAGCTACACTGGGGGGTCTCTCTTGAAACATTAGCTACACTGGGGGTCTCTCTTGAAACATTACCTACACTGGGGGTCTCTCTTGAAACATTAGCTACACTGGGGGTCTCTCTTGAAACATTAGCTACATGGGGGTCTCTCTTGAAAATCAGCTACACTGGGGGGTCTCTCTTGAAACATTAGCTACACTGGGGGGTCTCTCTTGAAACATTACCTACATTGAAACATAGCTACACTGGGGGGGTCTCTGAAACATTAGCATACACTGGGGGGTCTCTCTTGAAACATTAGCTTACACTTAGCTACACTGGGGGGTCTCTGAAACATTGAAACATTAGCTACACTGGGGGGTCTCTCTTGAAACATTAGCTACACTGGGGGGTCTCTCTTGAAACATTAGCTACACTGGGGGTCTCTCTTGAAACATTAGCTACACTGGGGGTCTCTCTTGAAACATTAGCTACACTGGGGGGTCTCTCTTGAAACATTAGCTACACTGGGGGGTCTCTCATGAAACATTAGATACACTGGGGGTCTCTCTTGAAACATTAGATACACTGGGGGGTCTCTCTTGAAACATTAGCTACACTGGGGGTATCTTTTGAAACATTAGCTACACTGGGGGTCTCTCTTGAAACATCAGCTACACTGGGGGTCTCTCTTGAAACATTAGCTACACTGGGGGTCTCTCTTGAAACATCAGCTACACTGGGGGGTCTCTCATGAAACATTAGATACACTGGGGGTCTCTCTTGAAACATTAGATACACTGGGGGGTCTCTCTTGAAACATCAGCTACACTGGGGGTATCTTTTGAAACATTAGCTACACTGGGGGTCTCTCTTGAAACATTAGCTACACTGGGGGTCTCTCTTGAAACATTAGCTACACTGGGGGTCTCTCTTGAAACATCAGCTACACTGGGGGTCTCTCTTGAAACATTAGCTACACTGGGGGTCTCTCTTGAAACATTAGCTACACTGGGGGTCTCTCTTGAAACATTAGCTACACTGGGGGTCTCTCTTGAAACATCAGCTACACTGGGGGTCTCTCTTGAAATATCAGCTACACTCGGGGTTTCTCTTGGAACATTACCTACACTGGGGGGTCTCTCTTGAACCAACAGCCAGAATGTGGGCCTTTCCATGAATGTCAGCTAGGCTAGACCAGCTGTAAACTCTGGTGAAATTCTTGTTGTTCGTCCACCTCTAAACTTTGAACATTCCCAAACTTGAGGGTTTTGTACACATTTTTTTCAAACGGTTCTGGCTTATTTTTATCTAGACTGCTGGTTAGTCACTTCTCAGGTAAATGCATTCTTGAGTTTAAAGGAATGACCCCTTAAGTTGAGTTGAGTCAAGAATAAACATCACAGAACTCAGGGCATTTCCATGCATGATCCGTCCTCATCTTCAGCAGCCAGCGCAGAGTTCCAATACTGATGGTACCGGTCACAATCCGCCTTGATTTTCCTCTGAGTGTAGTGAGCCGGCCAGACCCTCTGGTTACACCCAGGTTCCTCATTCTCTCCAGGCCATAAAAATCTTCTTTCTCTACTGATTCCGTTGCTTGTTCCCAAAGCGCCTTGACCACATCTGCCTGGTCATGTATCAATTAACCACCCAGTGGTGCAGATCCAGCCAATCTGTCTTCTGTTCATTACCCACCACGCCGGCATATCCTGGAGAAAAGTTCCAAAGTATGCTCACCACCCGTGACCTTTCCAGTGAAGCTAGCCACTCTGCTCGAAGCATCCCTGTCTTCACCTTTTTCAACATGCTTTCAGAGTCTGTTACAATAATGACATGTGCTGCAGTTACCGCCTCCACCTCCATTCTCATGCAAGATGTTGTGGCGTCATATTCTAGGCTGTCTTGCACTAAAGATTTTCCATCGGCTTTCGCTATGAACCCCCAGGCACTTCTCTTTCCTCTCAACACTGAACCATCTGTGCAGATAAACAGATTACCTGGGCGTGAATTGTCGTGAATCAACTGTTGGACTTCAACCTCCGTAGCACCCGCTGGCCACTAGTTAGTTGCATTGCCTTTTATGACATGCTTGTGGGGGGGGGGGGGGGGGGGGGATCACCTTACAACCCACAGGAGGAGCATAGAATAACTCCTATCTATGTTTCAACAAAAATGCAGAGAAATTAAAATAACAAAATTTAAAAAGGACTTGTTCACGTTCCACAGCCCAATTACACACTTTCTCAGTCTGATCCAGGTCAGAGGGGTGTCACATTGTACTCTTTGAAAAGAGTCTCTCGTATGACCTAGGCTGAGGCAGTGGGTAGCAGAGTTTGGGTTAGGGCCAGTTCTACATCTTCTGGGGTCGTTAAAAGCTGTGTCGTCGTGTAGTATAGAACACGCAACATCAGCGCTGATGCAATTGGAGGAAAGGCAACGTGACACCCCTCTGATGTAGAACGGTTTGAGAAAGCATGAATGAAAGGTCAGCCAGTGTGTAGATGGACAGAGAAACATGAACAGGACCAAAAAATAACAAAAATAAAAAGCATATTGCCACTCACCTTGTAAAAAATCAACGCTAACAGGAATGATAAGGTGGTGGCTATAGCAAACGCTAAAGCTAGTGCCAGGAGGTACAAACTCAGCTTATGCGTGTCATAGAAGAAGCAGGAGCCGTCTCCGCTGCAGCGCTTCTGCCACAACAAACAGGCAAAATCAAACATTTTGCCAAAGAGTATGGGCCCAGGAATTGAACCTGTGTCAATCAGAAACAAAGTGCTTGTAGATTTTACATCTCAGCATTTCACAAGAAAAAAAAAAAACTGTGCATACCACTGAAGGCTATCTGGGATGTGGGGGAGTTGTTTAGTGAAGAGCAATTTGTTAATCCCTGGCAATTTTCGTTGTTGCTTGAATTCTCATCTGGATAAGAGGAATTTAAGATAAGAAGTATTTCTTGGGTCCCTGGTGAGTTCTCCATATCAGGTTTGCACTGTATAATGCAAAGCATCTGTCAATAAATTTAGCTGGGGGATTGGGGGGGGGGGGGGGGGGGGGTAGCTCTAGGAACAGCATTGTGCAGAGATAAAGGGCCATTTACTAGCGGAAAAATATAAGGAAAGTGCAGATATATGGTGCTAAATTTCTGCGGATTTCATTTGGAATGTTTTTCGACTGTGACCAACGTGGTGTTGTGAACTGTAGATTCAGAAAATGGCCTGTGGTCTGTTGTTGCAATATTAGTGGTGCCCTTATGTGATTAAAACTGATCGCGTGTGCAACTGCTGATTTGTTGGTTACCTCTGCTACCGTCGATGATGAACTGCATTTCTAATGTCGGACTGTTTGTGTTAGCACTTCTGATGGCTACCGTATGCTTTTAATGCCTGTGTATGCTAGTGCAAATGTTGAGAAAACAGTCTGTCAATCTTTCCACAAAGGACTGGGATAAATATTCTGTGTGTTTTTCGTTGGCATAGGAGCGGAGCAAAGATGGGGTGACCTGTTTGCTATAAGGCTGAAACTAACATTAAATTACTATCATCATAATTACCATCCTGTTATATGTCAAATAATGCTAGTAGTCCAGTCCTCCATTCAATTCTATCCAGTGGAATTGTTTCTTTATCATGGATGGAATCTAGAGAAGCAACTTTGGCCCCTCTTAATAATGGTCTTCTCGGGGTTTTTCTCGGACGTCTTTGTTTCTTTAATCTATTTGTTTCCCATTTGAGTGTCTATTTAGTGATTCGCTGTCCATTTCCCCTCAGGATATACCAAATATATCATCATCTTCTTTGTCTTACCATTTATGATACTATCAGTTGTCCAGACTTTCTATTATTTTTTCACCCTTCTGGAATTCATCAATTTAATGTGTTTATTTTTATTTCCTTGGGCCAACTACAGAGATTTTATTTTTATGAACACAGATTCTCCTATTTATGTTTGCCTCATCTGGATTTGAACAAGGTACCTCTAAAGACAGAGCTGCACTGTCTCTCCCCACCACACCACTGTCACATATATCTACACCATTTCTGATCCAATATGCCAATGTGGTGGATCAACAGGCTGATTGTCTCTGGTCTTGGCTAGTTATCTGCCTCTGTCTACAACTGGCCTTTGCATTTCCATTTATGCGCACTGAAAGTATATAGTTCCGTCACCCAGCTACAGAGCTGAGTGCGTGGTGCGACACAGTGAGCAGTGAATTTTTTTTGGGAATTCTTTTCGACTGCTGATCTGTTGTAACTGATAAACCACAACTGTATTGACAGACTGTGCTTGTATTGGCACTTCTGGCAGCTACCCAATGCTTTTAATTCATGTGTACGCTATTAGCATTGAGGAGCAGCTGGCTAAATGGTTAGAACGCTGGGCTTTCACGCAGGAGACCTGGGTTCAAATCCTCGGTAAGGCTGGGGATTTTTTTCCAGGTCAGAAGCAAAATAAAATCCTCACCGGCACAGCCATAACAACAGCACTTGCCATGCGGCCATAAATCCTCAGGCTAAAAAAAAAAGTCATATAGCATGATGTCATATCCTGTGGAATTATTTCTTTATCACGGATGGAATCCAGTCAAGCAACTTTAGCCCCTATTAATAATGTTCTTCTCAGAGTTTCTCTTGGACGTCTTTGTCCAACACTTTGCCAACATGCTCTGTCTCTTGTTCTGCTTGTACACTCTCTCAGACTGCTACCCATCCATTTCTTTATATTGACCTCCCACTTGTATCAGTGCCCACCTCTTGCTCCTTTGCCTTTGACCTTCTCCTCCTGTATGGTCTTCAAAAGCATGTTTCGTCTTTTAATGTGGCCAAGGCATCCCGGTTATCTCTTTTTTATTTCTTTTTGCTTACACTGCAAAAGTGGTATAACCAAAAAAAGGTAAGCTATGGGCACTGCAGAGGCTGAGGCCGCAGTATGTTTTTCAGTTTGTTCACAAGGGATGGGTATTCTGTGGGATTTGCACTGGCACTGCGACAGAGCTGCTATGATTTGCCATGAAAATATTAACTGACTCATCGGCTCATAGCAGTGTCACTGTCTCCTAGGGGCTGCATGGTCTCAAGGCGTGGTGTCTGCCTCGAGTGCCAGAGGTACCGGGTTCAATCCCTGGTAAGGGCTGGGATTTTTTCCACGTGGGCTTGGACTTCTAGTTAATCTCCCTGGTCTCTGGGCAGTGGGATCGGATGCCCGTGTGCATTGTTGTTGCACACGTAAAAAAAATCCTTGGCAGTTCGAAATGAAAAAGAGTAGCCTAACGGCGCTGCCCGGGCAAAACTTAGTTAAAAATCTACAAAAAGGATTTCAGGATCTTCCCCGGTGCTACAGGGCCTGTGCACCATGCTGAGCTTCGTCGGACTCAGAGTTGAGTTAGAAGAAAGGAGCACTTTTGGGTTACTACCCGTGTGCCATGATGTTGATCTGTTGTTCAAAACCTGAAAAGTGGCGCGGTGATTTCGGTCACAGGCATGAGGGGAAGTTAAGTCTGATGTGATGTGTATAAGGAGATATTCCGTACCCCACTCGGGCGCCAGTACTTCACTGTTCTGGTTTTACGGAACCTCATGCAAGACTCCTGTTGCACGTCCCCGTCGTGCGCCACGGATAATGTCTCAAATGAGCATTAACAGAGTTGGCAGGGGATCTCGAAGCTGGCGGCCCCCAGAGGTGTAGAGTCCTTTCTGGCTCTCACCAGCCCGCCCCCAAACGCATGGGTGAAAAGTAACAAAACTCAAGGACTGCTTGCTAAATGTACCATCAAATGACAACTCTTGGTTAAAATTCGGGAGCGAATGGAAAACTGTGCTGCTGAGACTCAACCCTGACCGAGAGATTTACCCGCAGCCAAGACGAGTAACATCTCTTGTGGGCGACTTCTCGCAGCAAGATCCCACCTACGTACATCCTCTGTCAATCCTCAGTGTCGTCGTCACCGCGCTGAGGTACACCATGGCAGCAACCATTCATATGCTGGCTTGAAAACAATGTCCGACAAAGTTACACCCCACGGCACACATGCAAGCTCAAAGTCCGACGATCATAACTCGTACCGATTAGGAAAAGTCTGAATGTCCGTATCCACTGGTCCAACTCGCCCGAGTGTTGGGACCAAACAGGTGAAGCCACACCTGACGCATTTTGCTTCCCCATTCTGTCGTGCTAAGGGCACAGCTGAAACAACGTTAAAGGTGTCTAACGTAAGATGAAAAAGAATGTACCTATTTGTGTGGCCACAAACGTCCTAGACCTGCGGGCTGCTCCCCGCTGATCTCCGGAAAGCGCAGCCTTGTAGCGCAGGAAACTCAATACACGGTTGTGAGGTTAAGCAGTCATGGGCAGGACGTGACGATTCCTTGGGTGAGCCCAGAACCAGAGCATCATGTGTCGGCTCTGCATTTATGGAAGCCTCCTTGGATGGCGGGGAATGCCCATGATCTGCCCCTGCCTTCCCTTGAGGGCTGAAAACTCTACATAGAGCTGCCTTAAGGACGACATGCCGGGGGCCACACTTGTTAAAAGTCAAAGAGGACACCACACAAATAAGGCAACATCTCGACCCACACAAAACAATGGCCACAGTCAACCTAGAAATAGGCTTGACGTCTTCCTCCGAAGTCAGAGTACATCTGCCTGAGAGGCGGGGAACGAGTACTGCAAACAAATAAGCCAGTAAAACGGATGTACACGCAAAACTCAGATCAAGGTAAAAGCCAAAAGTCCATTTTGGACGAACAACCGTGACTTACCGCCGGAATTCTCAGCCGGTGAACAAGAAGAAAAAAAGAAAACCTGAAAAAAGTGTCACTATCTTCATGTGGCAAAGACAAGCAAATGTCTAGTTCAATCATTTTGTGACCACCAATTAATCAGGTGCCTGCTCCACAGTGAAGGTTGGCAGTAGATGTGTGTATGTATATGTATTACGTATGTCTGTATATGAGTGTGCATGTATGAGAATGTAGGAGTATGTATGTGTGTGTAAGAGTGTGTACGATTGTGTACACATGATGTGTGTATGCATTATTCTATAATTTATATTTCTTTATTACATCCATAACATGCATTAATGATAACAGGCATTGGTACTCTAAAAAATGAGTGCTTAGAAGGGCCAAATGTCAGACGGGCCTGCGTGCCTAATTTGTAACCCTTTGAAAATAAAGTTTGTTCGTTCGTTCGTTTGTTCGTTCTGTCTCTTGCCCTCCTTGTACACTCTCAGACTACTACAGATCCATTTCTTGATATTGTTCTCCCACTTGAATCACCTCATGCTCTCCTGGCTTCGACTTTTTCCTCCAGTATGGTCTTTAAAAGCTTGTTATGTCTTTTAATGTGGCCAAATTATCTCAGTTGTCTCTTCTGTATTTCTTTCAGCAACTCTCTTCTCATGTGTAGTTACATCTGAACCTCTAGATTAGACTGTTTTCTGTGATCATTACCATTTGTCTAATTCACAAGGTCATAAGTCAAGAATTATATTTTAAAACAAATATGCAAGGGATGTATGTAAGATGTCAGAAAGATACCTAGGCATCGAGCTACTATCCACTGTATCCCAAGGCCAAATGATCTTTGATGATCTGGTACACACCTGGAAGTGAACAAATATCTACACTGCATGGTAAAAAAAATGACTAATCCGTGATATCTAGTCAAACTTGTAAACAAAATTACTAATCCTTGATATCTAGTCAAACTGGTAAACAAAATTACTAATCCATGATATCTAGTCAAACTGGTAAACAAAATTACTAATACATGATATCTAGTCAAACTGGTAAACAAAATTACTAATCCATGATATCTAGTCAAAGTCCAGTCGATATCTAGTAAAACATTGAAAGTCTTGTCAACTGTTCCATTGATGGCATATGATTTAACACTTCTTCTTCTTCTTCTTCTTCTTCTCTTCCACCTTGTACCTCATCAAAGTGTCGGGGGGAGATGTAATGTTTGTCGATAAGCTCTGTCAAGAGCACTATTAGGACTGATGTTCATTTTATTGAACAATAATTATGGCATTTGATTTAACACTAGTTATTGAACAATAATGATGACATTTGATCTAACACTGAAAGTCTAGTTATTGAGCAATAATGATGGCATTTGATTTAACACTGAAAGTCTGGTTTTTGAACAATATTAATGGCATTTGATTTAACACTGAAAGTCTGGTTTTTGAACAATAATGATGGCATTTGACCTAACAATGAATGTCTGGTGAAGTGACTTTCTCTTCTTCTTTATTTTCATGAGCTCTAAACCCTGGCTGATGATTCTAGTTGTTTGTTCACTTCTAGACCTTAGTCTTGTTCCAGAACTGGAGTTTTTGCCTGCATATCCGTTTTTCAAATCTGACTTATTTGTATGCAGATTGTTGTTTCATATAAAATATTTATTAACCACACCACCTACCTATCAATCAACTAACCACACCACCTACCTATCAATCAACTAACCACACTACCTACCTATCAACCGACTAACCACACCACCTACCTATCAACCGACTAACCACACCACCTACCTATCAACCGACTAACCACACCACCTACCTATCAATCAACTAACCACACTCCCTACCTATCAACCAACTAACCACACCACCTACCTATCAACCGACTAACCACACCACCTACCTATCAACCGACTAACCACACCACCTACCTATCAACCGACTAACCACACCACCTACCTATCAACCGACTAACCACACCACCTACCTATCAACCGACTAACCACACCACCTACCTATCAACCGACTAACCACACCACCTACCTATCAACCGACTAACCACACCACCTACCTATCAACCGACTAACCACACCACCTACCTATCAACCGATTAACCACACCACCTACCTATCAACCGACTAACCACACCACCTACCTATCAATCAACTAACCACACTCCCTACCTATCAACCGACTAACCACACCACCTACCTATCAACCGACTAACCACACCACCTACCTATCAACCGACTAACCACACCACCTACCTATCAACCGATTAACCACACCACCTACCTATCAACCGATTAACCACACCACCTACCTATCAACCGATTAACCACACCACCAACCTATCAATCAACTAACCACACCACCTCCCTATCAACCGACTAACCACACCACCTACCTATCAACCGATTAACCACACCACCTACCTATCAACTGACTAACCACACTACCTACCTATCAACCGACTAACCACACCACCTACCTATCAATCGACTAACCACACTACCTACCTATCAACCGACTAACCACACTAGCTACCTATCAACTGACTAACCATACTAGCTACTTATCAACCGACTAACCACACTACCTACCTATCAACCGACTAATCACACCACCTACCTATCAACCGACTAACCACACCACCTACCTATCAACCGACTAACCACACCACCTACCTATCAACCGACTAACCACACCACCTACCTATCAACCGACTAACCACACCACCTACCTATCAACCGATTAACCACACCACCTACCTATCAACCGACTAACCACACCACCTACCTATCAATCAACTAACCACACTCCCTACCTATCAACCGACTAACCACACCACCTACCTATCAACCGACTAACCACACCACCTACCTATCAACCGACTAACCACACCACCTACCTATCAACCGATTAACCACACCACCTACCTATCAACCGATTAACCACACCACCAACCTATCAATCAACTAACCACACCACCTACCTATCAATCAACTAACCACACCACCTCCCTATCAACCGACTAACCACACCACCTACCTATCAACCGATTAACCACACCACCTACCTATCAACTGACTAACCACACTACCTACCTATCAACCGACTAACCACACCACCTACCTATCAATCGACTAACCACACTACCTACCTATCAACCGACTAACCACACTAACTACCTATCAACTGACTAACCATACTAGCTACTTATCAACCGACTAACCACACTACCTACCTATCAACCGACTAATCACACTATCTACCTATCAACCAACTAACCACACTAGCTACTTATCAACCGACTAACCACACTACCCACTTATAAACTGACTAACCACACTAGCTACCTTTCAACCGACTAACCACACTAGCTACCTATCAATCAACTAACCACACCACCTCCCTATCAACCGACTAACCACACTCCCTACCTATCAACCGATTAACCACACCCCCTACCTATCAACTGACTAACCACACTACCTACCTATCAACCGACTAACCACACCACCTCCCTATCAACCGACTAAGCACACTCCCTACCTATCAACCGATTAACCACACCACCTACCTATCAACCGACTAAGCACACTCCCTACCTATCAACCGATTAACCACACCACCTACCTATCAACCGACTAATCACACTATCTACCCATCAACCGACTAACCACACTCCCTACCTATCAACCAACTAACCACACTACCTACCTATCAACCAACTAATGACACTACCTACCTATCAACCAACTAATGACACTACCTACCTATCAACTGACTAACCACACTACCTACCTATCAATCGACTAACCACACTACCTACCTATCAACCGACTAACCACACTAACTACCTACCAACTGACTAACCACACTATCTACCCATCAACTGACTAATCACACTACCTACCTATCAACCGACTAATCACACTAACTACCTACCAACTGACTAACCACACTACCTACCCATCAACCAACTAACCACACTAGCTACCTATCAACCGACTAACCACACTAGCTACCTATCAATCAACTAACCACACCACCTCCCTATCAACCGACTAACCACACTCCCTACCTATCAACCGATTAACCACACTACCTACCTATCAACTGACTAACCACACTACCTACCTATCAACTGACTAACCACACTACCTACCTATCAACTAACTAACCATACTATCTACCTATCAACCGACTAACCACACTAGCTACCTATCAACCGACTAACCACACTATCTACCTATCAACCGACTAACCACACTAGCGACCTATCAACCGACTAACCACACTACCCACCTATCAAGTGACTAACCACACTATCTACCTATCAACTGACTAACCACACTATCTACCTATCAACTGACTAACCACACTACCTACCTATCAACTGACTAACCACACTACCTACCTATCAACTGACTAACCACACTACCTACCTATCAACTGACTAACCACACTACCTACCTATCAACTGACTAACCATACTATATACCTATCAACCGACTAACCACACTACCTACCTATCAACCGACTAATCACACAACCTACCTATCTACCGACTAACCACACTAGCTACCTATCAACCGACTAACCACACTAGCTACCTATCAACCGACTAACCACACTACCTACCTATCAACTGACTAACCACACTATCTACCTATCAACTGACTAACCACACTACCTACCTATCAACCGACTAAACATACTATCTACCTATCAACTGACTAACCACACTACCTACCTATCAACCGACTAAACATACTATCTACCTATCAACTGACTAACTACACTATCTACCTATCAACCGACTAACCACACTAGCTACCTATCAACTGACTAACCACACTATCTACCTATCAACTGACTAACCACACTACCTACCTATCAACTGACTAACCACACTACCTACCTATCAACTGACTAACCACACTAGCTACCTATCAACTGACTAACCACACTAGCTACCTATCAACCGATTAACCACACTAACTACCTATCAACCGACTAAAAACACTCCCTACCTATGAACTGACTAACCACACTATCTACCTATCAACTGACTAACCACACTACCTACCTATCAACCGACTAACCACACTAGCTACCTATCAACGGACTAACCACACTAGCTACCTATCAACCGACTAACCACACTACCTACCTATCAACTGACTAACCACACTACCTATCTATCAACCGACTAACCACACTACCTACCTATCAACTGACTAACCACACTACCTATCTATCAACCGACTAACCACACTTTCTACCTATCAACCGACTAACCACACTATCTACCTATGAACTGACTAACCATACTACCTACCTATCAACCGACTAACCACACTATCTACCTATCAACTGACTAACCACACTACCTACCTATCAACTGACTAACCACACTATCTACCTATCAACCGACTAACCACACTCCCTACCTATCAACCGACTAACCACACTATCTACCTATTAACCGACTAACCACACTATCTACCTATAAACCGACTAAACACACTATCTACCTATCAACTGACTAACCATACTACCTACCTATCAACCAACTAACCACACTACCTACCTATCAACCGACTAACCACACTATCTACCTACCAACACCTAGCCACCAAACACAAAAAATGAACTTACCGCAATGTAGCAGTCAGTGACGGCATGGAAGTGATGAATACAAACACGATCATGAACCCAAAGCACAACATAAACAGGGTCAGCCATTTGCAGTTGAATTCACACTTGCCAAACTCCGCCATGTAAGTGCTGCCCTCTGTGTAGTCGGAGGCAGTCAGGTTATAGTTGACACAGCTGCAGTTGGCATACCTCTGCAAGAAGACCAGATGCATATGTAAATTAGGTAATCGTAAGGCATGGATCCTCGTATGGGTTCCGAGGCCCCATTCATTTGTTTAGAAAAGGGGATTAGGGGAGGGGTGGAGGAAACCCACTGACGCCCTAACAAGTGTCTCCTAAAAGTAAACTAATCAGGGGCGTTTCGAAGAGCATCTACCTGAGATGTGAGGAACCAACAACCTGCATACGAATAAGCTAGAGCTGTAAAACAGATGTGCATGCAAAACTCAAGTTCTGGAACAAGACCAAAGTCCAGAAGTGGCCAAACAACCAGAACTTTCCATAAGAGTTTACAATTGGTGAATGCTAAGAAGAAGATGAAGAAGAAGAAGAAGAAGAAGAAGAAGAAGAAGAAGAAGAAGAAGAAGAAGAAGAAGAAGAAGAAGAAGAAGAAGAAGAAGAAGAAGAAGAAGAAGAAGAAGAAGAAGAAGAAGAAGAAGAAGAAGAAGAAGAAGAAGAAGAAGGTAAAGCGTGGATAAAAGATAACCATAAAGCAAGTGACCATATTTTTACCCAGTGACACATTGGGCATTTTATGCTAGACTCATATATGTAAAGACCAATCGGCACACAGTAGGTGATGTAGTCAACATCAATCACGCCAGGTGCCTTTATTTCCCAGGAGTTTTAAGCCTGGGCTGATCTGGAAGCCAAGGCAATTTGAAAACATAAAAAATCTGCCTAAACTTTTTGAGTCCCAAACAACTCAGGCTGTGTGAATCATCATAACTGCCAAATCCCATCTTTAGGTTAAAATGCTCACTTCAGTATTTTGTGAGAACACACTCAAGAAATCTGGCTTGTCCAATGGTCACTTCTTCTTCTTCTCTTCCACCTTGTACCTCAGTGAAGTGTCGGGGGAGGGGGGGGGTGTAACTTTCGTTGATGAGCTCTGTCAAGAGCACTACTAAGACATGTTCATTCTGTAAGGCTGTTTTCCACATCAATCCATATTTTTTTAGGTCTTCCACTCGCTCTATACCCACTGTAATGTCTCAGTGTGGCTCGCTGTGGCAGATAGTACCAGGGCATTCTTGTTAGGTGTCCAAACCACTTCATTTGTTGTTCTTTGATGACCTGTAAGACTGGTTTTATTCCTAGCATTCATTTGATTTCGTGATTTTGTATTCTGTCTTTCCTTGAAACTTTTGCAGCTCTTCTAAGGCACTTCACCTCTGTTATCGCTATTTTACGTTCATTAGAGAATGTAAGTGTCCATGTCTGGCACTGATAGCATAATATTGGCCAAAAAATAGTTCTGATAAGATTCACTTTAGTACTCCAAGGTATCCGCTTGTGTGTCAACAGGGGAGATAGTTGCCCCAGTACTCGATTATCTTTGGCACATTTCAAGCTAATTTCTCTGTCAAATTTTCCATCAGATGTGAAAATTGCACATAAATACTTGAATTCCTCTGTTTGTCTTAAGGCGTTGTTTTTAAAATGGTCAGTACTGCTGTTATATGACTACTTTGAAAGTATTTCACTGACGAATTTTAATCACAGATACATCTTCACTGGCATCTCATATGATATGAAACCTTTTTTCTGGTACTGAAAGAGTTAATGCAGTTTATGGTACAGATAAAAAGTAACTGCATGTTATGGATAAAAAATAGTTAAACATGGTATGGATAAAGGTAATGCTATGGTAAGGGTGCTGTCTGCGAGGTCTGAAACATAAGACCTTTATGTAAAGTAGTCTTGTAATGCCGGGGGAAAAGAGGGGGGGGGAGGTTTGATCCCAGCTGCGGACGGTTCGTCTAGCATTGGTTTCGATAGTTAGTGGTACCGAGAGCTGACCGTTCGGAAGCTGTAAAATCTGCTTAGAAAAACCACAACAGCCAAACAAATGCTGGGGTTAATTATGAAACATCCTGTAAAGAATACAAACTAAATTTTTAATATGTAAAGTGCTCGGAAGCTGGAATAATACAGAGAAAGAATAAAGGTCAGGAGATTTAAAGGAAGTGTGTGCACTCCGAAGTAATGTACATATGATTGAAACACCTATAACTTCTGAAAGAATTATAAAATGTACAAGTTCAGGATAGTTAGCATCCTTTAGATATTTTCTCCAGGTTATGTCGGTGTGTTGGGAAATGAGCAGGCAGATAGACAGACCGGTTCTGCACCACTCGGTGGTTGTTGTGAGGGCCCTTTGGGAGCGAGTGAACAGTGCCGAGGTACAGATAGATCATTACGGTCTGAGGAGAATAGCGCTGAGAGCAGTTACACTGGGATCTAGCTGACGCTCAACACTCAGGGAAAAGGCGAGACAGATATACAGTCAGACAGTCAGTGGTACCATTGGAATTTTAACTGTTTGCTTGCTGCTGAAGATGGGGATGGAGCGCTTATAAGGGTGTCCAGAGTGCTGTGATGTCGATGCTTAATTCAACATTCAACATTTTAAAATGTACAAGAACATGTGTACAGTGGCTTGTGTACCAGCCTATGTGTGCAAGAATACACATACAAGAATACATGTACAAGAGCATGTGTACAAACATGTGTGTAAGAGTTTGTGTACAAGTATATGTGTGCAAGAACAGTGTGAAAGAGTACATTTACAAGAACACATATGCAGAAATATGAGTGAACTTGCCTTAACACTGCCTTCGTGTATGACATCGGTACAGCCAGCGTAGCACGGGGAAAAGTACATCACTTTGTCCCTGCCACACACAGGGAAGTAGTCCTCCTCTACACATGAACAGTTCTGGTTGCAGGTGTTCTCCAAGTTCTTTCCCAGGAATGTGGCGGCACTGGAATGGCACAAGTGAAGACATTCGATTGGTTATCCAGTGTCAAGGGTATTTTGATTGGTTATCTGATACCATGGGTTCATCTCATTGGTTATCTGATGTCATAGATTTAAGATTTTGCTATCTGATCTCACAGATTAATTATATTGGTTATCTGATGTCATAGATTAATTATATTGGTTATCTGATCTCATGTATTAATTAAATTGCTTATCTGATGTCATGTATTAATTATATTGGCCATCTGATGTCATGTATTAATTATATTGGCTATCTGATCTCATGTATTAATTATATTGGCTATCTGATCTCACGGATTAATTGCATTGCTTATCTGATGTCATGTGATAATTATAATGGTTATCTGATGTCATGTGATAATTATAATGGTTAGCTGATGTCATGTGATAATTATACTGGTTATCTGATGTCATGGATTAATTGCCCTGGTTATCTGATGTCATGGATTAATTATACTGGTTATCCGAGGTAATGGATTAATTATACTGGTTATCTGATGTCACGGATAAATTGCTCTGGTTATCCGATGTCATGGAAGCTTTTGACTGGTTACCGACCTGACCCACATTTAGGTAAAAACATATTATATAGTAGTTACAGTTCACCTCTACTGAGAGTATTCAATTTTGCTGCCAAATGAACACAGGCCAAAGACAAGAGTGACAACAAACAACAAATGTGGTAAAGGCTAGGAAAGGAGAGCCCAACTGGAGACTGGCAGTCTTGTATGTATGAAGGAGTTAAGAATGACAGTATTAAACTTATGGGTATACTACTCCCAAAGGGGCCCAGTACACCACCCCTGCAGGAAACAAATATGCTGTCAGTTGTTCAGAATCTTTCACTAAATATAATATTTAAAAACATAATAAGATGCTGGTTGATACATGTTAATAACACCCAGTCATACATAGTATGATGTTTGGGGCAGAAGAGGTTAACATGATTTTGTTAGAAAGTGTCTTGAGAAGATGTGTTGAGTGATGTTTTGACAAGATGTGATGAGAAGATGTTTTGAGAAGACATCTTGAGGAAGATGTTTTGAGAAGACATCTTGAGAAGATGCTTTGAGAAGACATCTTGAGAAGATGTTTTGAGAAGACATCTTGAGGAAGATATTTTGAGAAGACACCTTGAGAAGATTTTTAGAGAAGACATCTTGAGAAGATATTTTGAGAAGACATCTTGAGAAGATGTTTTGAGAAGACATCTGAGAAGATGTTTTGAGAAGACATCTTGAGAATATGTTTTGAGAAGACATCTTGAGAAGATGTTTTGAGAAGACATCTTGAGAAAATGTTTTGAGAAGACAGCTTGAAGAAAATGTTTTGAGAAGACATCTTCAGAAGATGTTTTGTAAAAGTGTTTCTCTCCATGCGGGTTTTGGGTCCACATTTGGGGAGGTGGGGTGGGGGGGGGGAGAGAGAACAGACTCACTGCCTCCTAACAAGAATGTCGTAAAAAGGGACCAATTAGGGGTTTTCTTAAATCGGATGTATTGGGCTAAAGATGCAGATATCACAGTCTAGCTGTAAACCACCACACAATATGATGTCTTTTAAAGGCAAAACAGAAAAAGAAGAAGAAGCAGAAGCAAGAGCAGAAGGAGCAGAACAATGAGAAAAGGAAGAGGAGGAGGAAGAAGAAGAAGTAGAAAATGAAGCAGGAAGATGATGTGCAGGAGGAGGATAAAAAGAAGAGAAAGTGATTTGAGAAAGTTTTATAGAAGATGTTTTCAGAAGGTTTTTTTAGGAAGATAAACAGACAGACAGGCAAGCAAACACCACACCCCCCCCCCCCCCCCCCCGCCCCAAATACATACCCAACATCTGTTTGTCCATAAGACAGTGTGACACCAGCAAAGGGCGTAGTATCACACTCCATGAGCAGTGCCACGCTCAAGACACACACCACAAATGACATGACAGTGCACAGCCGTAGGATGCCACGTACTTTCAGGTTGAAGCACTTGACAATGAACCCGCCTCCAAATGTGGCCCCTCCACCTGCGGGGACCACAGCTAGACCTGCGGTATATGAAATAAATGATTCAGTTACGACAGAGGAGATCTCATGCAGTGCAATAGATGATTCAGTTACAATTGAGGAGATCTCATGCAGTGCAACAGATGATTCAGTTACAATTGAGGAGATCTCTTGCAGTGCAACAGATGATTCAGTTACAATTTAGGAGATCTCATGCAGTGCAACAGATGATTCAGTTACAATGGAGGAGATCTCATGCAGTGCAACAGATGATTCAGTTACAATTGAGGAGGTTCTCATGCTGTGCAACAGATGATTCAGCTACAATTTAGATCTCATGCAGTGCAACAGATGATTCAGTTACAATTGAGGAGGTTCTCATGCTGTGCAACAGATGATTCAGTTGTGATGGAGGAGATCTCATGCTGTGCAACAGATGATTCAGTTACAATTGAGGAGGTTCTCATGCTGTGCAACAGATGATTCAGTTATGATGGAAGAGATCTCATGCTGTGCAACAGATGATTCAGTTACAATTGAGGAGGTTCTCATGCTGTGCAACAGATGATTTAGTTATGATGGAGGAGATCTCATGCTGTGCAACAGATGATTCAGTTACAATTGAGGAGGTTCTCATGCTGTGCAACAGATGATTCAGTTATGATGGAAGAGATCTCATGCTGTGCAACAGATGATTCAGTTACAATTGTGTAGGTTCTCATGCTGTGCAACAGATGATTCAGTTATGATGGAGGAGATCTCATGCTGTGCAACAGATGATTCAGTTATGATGGAGGAGATCTCATGCTGTGCAACAGATGATTCAGTTATGATGGAGAAGATCTCATGCAGTGCAACAGATGATTCAGTTATGATGGAGGAGATCTCATGCTGTGCAACAGATGATTCAGTTATGATGGAGAAGATCTCATGCTGTGCAACAGATGATTCAGTTATGATGGAGGAGGTTCTCATGCTGTGCAACAGATGATCCAGTTACAATGGAGGAGATCCCATCTCCAATGAAAGCGTAAGAAGAAGAAACAAATATGAACTTCCTAACATAAGAAGTTGAATCTTTTATTATCCCAGTATGTGTAATTATGACAATTAATGATTAATGCGTACAATTATGAACTCACCAACATACAAATTTGCAGTCCTCTTATGATTCACTGTTCAACACAAGCTCATCTGGACTTATCAATATACAATATGTGGTATTCTCATACGTTGCTGCTCAACACATACCAATATAGATGTAGAAACATACAAACGCTACTCAGTACATAGGAAAATTAACTTACCAACATACAAACTTGTAGTAGTCTTCTGACACTAAACTACTCAACACACATAAATATTCACTTACCAACATACAAACTTGTAGTAGTCTTCTCACACTAAACTACTCAACACACATAAATATTTACTTACCAACATACAAACTTGTAGTCTTCTTACACTAAACTACTCAACACACATAAATATTTACTTACCAACATACAAACTTGTAGTCTTCCCACACTAAACTACTCAACACACTTAAATATTTACTTACCAACATACAAACTTGTAGTCTTCCCACACTAAACTACTCAACACACTTAAATATTTACTTACCAACATACAAACTTGTAGTAGTCTTCTTACACTAAACTACTCAACACACATAAATATTCACTTTCCAACATACAAACTTGTAGTAGTCTTCTTACACTAAACTACTCAACACACATAAATATTCACTTACCAACATACAAACTTGTAGTAGTCTTCTTACACTAAACTACTCAACACACATTAGCCTAACAACATACCAACCTATACTCTACTTACACTAAACTACTCAACACACATAAATATTCACTTACCAACATACAAAGCTGCAGTCCCTGCTGACAGCCCAAACTCGTACTCTATAAACTTTGGCATGAATGTTGAGAATCCTGCCACCAGAATACCTGGAGATGATGATGATGATGGTGAGAACATCAGTCATGTGTGACAGAGAACAGAACATCAGTCATGTGTGACAGAGAACAGAACATCAGTCATGTGTGACAGAGAACAGAACATCAGTCATGTGTGACAGAGAACACAACATCAGTCATGTGTGACAGAGAACACAACATCAGTCATGTGTGACAGAGAACACAACATCAGTCATGTGTGACAGAGAACACAACATCAGTCATGTGTGACAGAGAACAGAACATCAGTTATATTTTGACAGAGTAAAGGACCTTTTTGCAAGCCTTTAGGGGTATTGGGAATACAGGACTAGACCTATATTTTTTTAAGACCAATGGGCACTTGGCGGGTGATGTAGCCAGCATCAAGCCGGCAGCCTTTACTTCCCAGGACTGCACCTGGTACCCAGTCAAGGCTGGTTCGACCTGGGAGTGAAAGTCATTTTTTGAAAAATGTCCGGCTCCGTCAGGACGCAAACCCACGACCTTCCAATCCGCAAGCAGGCATCTAGGCACCAATGACATGGCGACTCCCCAAAAAGTTAGCTGTGTATCCTTTACAGGACGTTGCAGAACCAACCCCATCATTTTTTTTGCTGTTGTGGTTTTTCTAGGCAAATTTTACATTCAGTAGTTTGCCATTGCTTTCTGAACAGTCAGTTCTAGGTACCACAGTCCAAACCAAAGCAAGACAAACCGTTTGCAGCTAGGATCGAACCTGGCGTCCCTGCATTACGAAGTGCTCTCGCAACGCCTAAGCCACAGACGCCAACATTGTGACAGAAAATAGAATACTAGTTTATGTTGTTAATTAGTTGTCGTTAGTCGAGTTTCCAACAACACTGCAGATGGGGGTGCCCCATAAGTGCTCCATTAATGTCCTAGGGGGAATCAGGTAATCATGTAAGTGCAGTTTCACCTTAATGGCAAATGGGTTGCCCCACAAGTGCTCCATTAATGTGCTAGGATATCAAGTAATCATGTAAGTGCAGTTTCATCTTAATGGCAAATGGGTTGCCCCACAAGTGCTCCATTAATGTGCTAGGGGATCAAGTAATCATGTAAGTGCAGTTTCATCTTAATGGCAAATGGGTCACCCCCTCGGCGCTCCATGCCAGTGCCAACAAAAACCACAAAGAATCCATTGCTGTCCCTTGTGAAACAATTTACACAGACTACAGTCTCAGCACATCCAACAACACAAACATGCATTAACTGCATAGGGCAGTCATCAGGATGCTAGCTCAGTCCGATGCTAGAAATGCAGTTCATCATTGATGAAATCAGCAGCTACAAAAAATAAGTAGTCGCACATGCAATTAGGGACATAAAGCACCACCAGTTGTGTGGGAACAGGGTACTCGCCATTTTCTGAATCTATAGTTTACAACCAGTCCTTAAGAAACAGAATAGGGGCTTTTGAGCTGAAATGCTTAGCAAAATTCTCAGAATATCTTGGACAAAGAAAAGGAGAAATACTGATATCTTGAAAGATCTGAACATCAAGGAAGATTGGCTAATAAATAGCATGCTGTCTCGGAAGCTGAAATATTTTGGTCATATCAAGTGCCACGACGGATGGGATACAATTATAGCAGAAGGCATGGTACCAGGAAGGAGGGGCAGGGGCCGACCAACAGGTAGATGGGAATAGTATATAAGTGACTCCTTAAGTATGAAAGTACATGAGGCGGGTAAGATGGTGAGAGGCGGAGTTTCTTTTAGGCAGACCGTGATGAGAGTGACGTTCTGCAAAGGAAATGCTACATGATGATGATAGTTTACAACATAGGTCACATTCAAAAAATAATTCCAAATTAAATCCACAGCTCAGTGTCACACCATGTACTCAACTCAGTAGCTGGGCTTCATAACTATATCCTTTCAGTCTACAAACGCAACAGGCAACTACTATCAGAAGCAAAATCTAAATTACAACAGCTCAAAGATTAAAAAATAAAATAAACACAAAATAATTTCACCTGGATTTTTATCAATGAATACACTTGGTCAACACATTCTTTTAAACCACATTTTCATTTCACATTCAAGGTGAGTTTTCAGTGGACCAAAAAGATAGGAATCACTAGGGCTAAGTCGGTGCTGTAAGGTGGATGTTCGAGAAGTTCCCACCCTATATGGCTACTCAATTATCGCCTCAAATCATCTCCTCCACCCACCGCACAGATGCATCTGTTGCAGTCTCAACAGGGTGACCAGATTGGACTTCATTAACTGTTTTAGAGTGTCCTTGAGCAAAAACTGTACCTAGCTATGCACCACTTTAAGGGGAAAAAATGTATCAGCATAAACAGAAAGCATTCCCTTATAAATGTCCTTTGCGGAGAGCCCATTTGCTCCCCCCCCCCCCCCCCCCCCCCAAACAGTATGTCGAGGGTACACTCCATCACCATTTTGTTTCTGTGTTGCGAATGCGCATGCAACACCTAGCGTCACCTAACGAACGGAGGCATAAAGTTCAATGCTGCTGTCACCTAATGACACCTTTAGAAACCACCAACTAACTACATTTTTGTGCCATCCAGAAACCATCTGTGACTTACTTACTGAGATCCACTTGTACAGAGGACCTACTGACTGATGATGGTGATGTTTTTCTAGCTACAAGACACTGCAGTACAATGTACAAAAAAAGATATAAACTATCGAAGACCACTGCAGTACAAAGTACAAGAAAAGATATAAACTATCTAAGACGACAGCAGTACAATCTAAAAGACGACATCAATTATCTCATCCCCAGTACTCACCCTCGGCAGCTGCAGCAATATTAATAAACATGAATGGAATGTTTGTCATCAAATATTTCAGGGACAGTAAAATGTCCTTGAGTCCCCGGTGCTGTCCTGTCTGATCAACTTGACTGGACGCTTGGGTCTCCTGGCCTCGTTCTAGAGCATACTTCTTGGAACCTGAGGCGACACCAAAAAGTCTTTGAATGCTAACACAAACTGTTTTTTTTTTTTAAAGTAAGCAATAAATGTGTCTGGTTGGTTTGAGTCCCCTGAGAGGCTCAAGGTGTGGTGGAAAATGAACAGGCAAACAGACTGGCTGGTGCTGCATCACTTGCCTTCCACACTTTGTATTTTTTTGTACCCTACACTGATATTATGTATTTTGAGCCAAACATGATACAAATCCAGCTGACATGTAAAAGAACAATGTCTGGAATGTAAGACTGGCCTGCACGCCATATTTGTTACCTTTGAAAAAATTGTGTTTATTGGTTAACTGAGTGATGAACTGATGAACAGCAAGCCAGGTGTAGTCAAGGTCTTCTGGAAGCAAGGGAGACAATGCAGAAGTGCAAACAGATCATTACAGGGTGGGGAGAATGGTACAGCAGAGAGTGACTACAGTATCAGGTAGACGCTCCTCATCAGTGGGTCCCAACCTTGAGTATATGGCATTATACACCCCCCCCCACCACCCAAATGGGGTCTAGAAACCCACACTAGAACTGCCCACTGACAGCATGGCAGCCATATTTGCCCCTTCGGCCGACACATTAAAATACTTCAGGCAGCAATTGCCCAGGTTAGCCTCACAGGACATCCTACAATGAAGTTCCAGTAGCGGTCTTGTATATCCCACTAGTTTCTGAACCTGGATAGGAAAAGAGTGACTTTCCTATCGAGACAAGTGATACTTACAAGGGAAAAAAAATTACAAAGAAAACTGTTTCAAAACAACTGGACAGTCTAAGATCTATTTATGTATAAAACATTAACTTCAAGATAAAAATAGGAGCCCAGGTAAAAAAAAAAATTATCAGGTTAAATAATTACCAAGAAGTTATCCAAAATCGAATGGCATGAAGTTGTAAATGCACTATACCAACTTACCACTGATCACTGGCATCCTGAGAGCTAATAGACTGAAATGGCTGGAACATATTGGGAGAATTTCAGAGGACAGAGAGGTAAAAACTGTATAGGCATAGGGAGCTGAATGGTCGTAGACCACGAGGCAGACCAAAAAGATGATTGAGAGATAATGTCCAGACAGACATGCAAACACCAACTGGAAAGAGAAGGCCAGCCAGAAAGATGAGTGGAGGCGGGTGATATCTGCAGCAATGAACCTCAAGGACTCGGAATGCTGAAGAAGAAGAAGAAGAAGAAGAAGAAGAAGAAGAAGAAGAAGAAGAAGAAGAAGAAGAAGAAGAAGAAGAAGAAGAAGAAGAAGAAGAAGAAGAAGAAGCAGAGGAAAAGATGAAGACTATACCAACTCACTGACAAACTGACCTGGTAGAGCTGCCGGATAGGCCAGCATGGGCAGAGCGAGCAGCACACCCATCATCCCACTGATGAGGAAGCCAATCCACCAGGCACCAATCCATTTAGGATTACTGGGATCTAGGCCAAGACTGGAAAAACAGTACTACTGTAAATTTCAATATACATTAATACAAGAATCCTAATATATATATATGCGCACGTACGCACCCACACACACACACACACACACACACACACACACACACACACGCGCGTACGCATGCATGCACACACACAAAAAACCTCAACATATTTCATCAATAACAGTATCCTTCCTAACTATCAATTGAAGTATTCTAGATATCATTGGGTGTCAATCAATACAGTGCTATGAATTCCAATATATAACAATAAGTATCCTAACTATGAATATGAATCATAGCTTTGTTGTCAATATCAATATATCTCAAAATGACATGTCCAAAATATCAAAATAATATATCAATAAAAGTATCCTAAATGTGAATAAAGTTTAAACTGGATATCTGAAAGACCAATGCAGTTTAACAGATTTATTTTGTTTAGCAATACATCTCAGTACAAGTACCATGGTTATATATATAAATGCCCGGTTCTCTAGCGTAGTTGGTTAAACCTGACTTTCGCGGCGATCAGGTGACGAACTCCTTGTGGTCCGGGTTCACTCCCAGGGGTAGGCAGAAAAGCCACATTTCTCCCAGATTAACGGTACCTATAATGGAATCAAGGCCAAAGGGTTGCGATATCCATAGTACCGAGCCAAAGGGTTTACACTCATGGTTTCTGGATACGTAAAAAAAAAAATAATAATATATAAAAATATCATCCTTTTTATGCCTTCACATAGGGCGCACATTTGATTCCTGAATTCTGCTCTATTGCATGCAACTTTCCCGATTTCTGACATGGAGTTCAGCAAAACATTCTTTTGCCTCTCATAAGAATTTTCTTCTTAATGTTTCCCTTGGACGTCCTTTTTTGTATCACTACATTTGATACAGTTATTTATCCAGACATTTCTCTGATCTCCTCATTCTTTTTTAATTCAATGTTCATGAATTTTCAAATACATTTGACTTTTGTTCCACATCTTTGGTGGTTCTCCAACTTTTGCTGGCATATATTATATGAAATGACATTAGAACTGAAGATTTGTAGTTTGGTTTTAAAGCTGTATAACTTGGAGCTCCACATTTTGTTACGGCTTTTAAAGATTGTTATTGCTTTGCCAATGCATATCACAATTTAATTATTTGTATCTCCTTGCAAGTCAAAACTGTTCCAGAAACTGAGTGTTGCGTGCACATTTGTTTCACAGGTCTGACTCATAGGCATTCAGACTGTTCATTCCTTGCCTCTCAGGCAGATGTACTCCGACTTCGAAGGAAGCTCCCAATTAGCAGCTCTTACAACACGCTTTTGGGCAAGCAGTGGGTCTATTCTTGTTCTCCCTACAATGAGGCCCCACAACCCACATGGGGACTCAAGTATCCAAGAGTCAGGGGGCAATAAGTTACCTAGCGGGATCTACCGTCACATCGGTGTATATATCCAGAAACTTGGCCCCCACCATGTAACCAGCAGCTGGTCCTATAATGGCTCCGGTGTAGAAGATACCTGCAGAGTAGAATAAGTTGAGAAATGTTGTATTCATTCCTGTATGATATACTGCAGAGAAGAATAAGTTGTGAAATGTTGTATTCATTCCTGTATGATATACTGCAGAGAAGAATAAGTTGAGAAATGATGTATTCATTCCTGCATGATATACTACAGAGAAGAATAAGTTGAGAAATAAAGCAATCATTCCTGTATGATATACTACAGAGAAGAATAAGTTGAGAAATGATGCAATCATTCCTGTATGATATACTACAGAGTAGAATAAGTTGAGAAATGTTGTATTCATTCCTGTATGATATACTGCAGAGAAGAATAAGTTGAGAAATGATGTATTCATTCCTGCATGATATACTACAGAGAAGAATAAGTTGAGAAATAAAGCAATCATTCCTGTATGATATACTACAGAGAAGAATAAGTTGAGAAATGATGCAATCATTCCTGTATGATATACTACAGAGTAGAATAAGTTGAGAAATGTTGTATTCATTCCTGTATGATATACTACAGAGAAGAATAAGTTGAGAAATGTTGAATTCATTCCTGCATGATAAACTACAGAGAAGAATAAGTTGAGAAATGATGCAATCATTCCTGTATGATATACTACAGAGGAGAATAAGTTGAGAAATGATGCAATCATTCCTGTATGATATACTACAGAGAAGAATAAGTTGAGAAATGATGTAATCATTCCTGTATGATATACTACAGAGAAGAATAAGTTGAGAAATGATGCAATCATTCCTGTATGATACACTACAGAGAAGAATAAGTTGAGAAATGATGCAATCATTCCTGTATGATACACTACAGAGAAGAATAAGTTGAGAAATGATGCAATCATTCCTGTATGATATACTACAGAGGAGAATAAGTTGAGAAATGATGCAATCATTCCTGTATGATACACTACAGAGAAGAATAAGTTGAGAAATAAAGCAATCATTCCTGTATGATATACTACAGAGAAGAATAAGTTGAGAAATGATGCAATCATTCCTGTATGATATACTACAGAGAAGAATAAGTTGAGAAATGATGCAATCATTCCTGTATGATATACTACAGAGAAGAATAAGTTGAGAAATAAAGCAATCATTCCTGTATGATATACTACAGAGAAGAATAAGTTGAGAAATGATGCAATCATTCTTGTATGATATACTACAGAGAAGAATAAGTTGAGAAATAAAGCAATCATTCCTGTATGATATACTACAGAGAAGAATAAGTTGAGAAATGATGCAATCATTCTTGTATGATATACTACAGAGAAGAATAAGTTGAGAAATGATGCAATCATTCTTGTATGATATACTACAGAGAAGAATAAGTTGAGAAATAAAGCAATCATTCCTCTATGATATACTACAGAGAAGAATAAGTTGAGAAATGATGCAATCATTCTTGTATGATATACTACAGAGGAGAATAAGTTGAGAAATGATGCAATCATTCTTGTATGATATACTACAGAGAAGAATAAGTTGAGAAATAAAGCAATCATTCCTGTATGATATACTACAGAGGAGAATAAGTTGAGAAATGATGCAATTATTCCTGTATGATATACTACAGAGGAGAATAAGTTGAGAAATGATGCAATCATTCTTGTATGATACACTACAGAGAAGAATAAGTTGAGAAATGATGCAATCATTCTTGTATGATATACTACAGAGAAGAATAAGTTGAGAAATAAAGCAATCATTCCTGTATGATATACTACAGAGGAGAATAAGTTGAGAAATGATGCAATCATTCCTGTATGATACACTACAGAGAAGAATAAGTTGAGAAATGATGCAATCATTCCTGTATGATATACTACAGAGAAGAATAAGTTGAGAAATGATGCAATCATTCCTGTATGATATACTACAGAGAAGAATAAGTTGAGAAATGATGCAATCATTCCTGTATGATATACTACAGAGAAGAATAAGCTGAGAAATGATGCAATCATTCCTGTATGATATACTACAGAGGAGAATAAGTTGAGAAATGATGCAATCATTCCTGTATGATATACTACAGAGAAGAATAAGTTGAGAAATGATGCAATCATTCCTGTATGATATACTACAGAGAAGAATAAGCTGAGAAATGATGCAATCATTCCTGTATGATATACTACAGAGAAGAATAAGCTGAGAAATGATGCAATCATTCTTATGCACTCATGTATGAGACAATACATTTCAGGCAGACAGGTAAGAAAAAAACTGAATGACTAAACAGGGTGATATTTGTATAGCCATGATATATATGCATGTAAATATTAAGAAGCAGCAGAAGAAGAAGAGGAGGAGGAGGAGGAGAAGGAAGAAGAAGAAGAAGAAGAAGAAGAAGAAGAAGAAGAAGAAGAAGAAGAAGAAGAAGAAGAAAATGAAGAAGAAGAAGAAGAAGAAGAAGTAGAAGAAGAAAAAGGATGATGATGATGACGACGACGAAGAAAAAAAAAGATAACAAAGAAAATGATGATGATGATGAAGAAGAAAAAGAAGAACAGCAACAACAACAATAACAACAACAACAACAAAGAGAATGTGCATCTCTCCAAAGACTCGAAATGATTTTCTAATTGCTCGTTTAATGTCCAGGACGCTACACCATGCAACAGTCAAGAACTGACATCACAGCACTCAGGGCATTCCCATGTGTGTTCCGTCCTCATCTTCAGCAGCCAGCACAGAGTTCCAAAACGAATATGCCCGGCTTGCCTCTCCTCTGAGTGTAGTGAGCCGGCTAGACCCTCTGGTTACAGCCAGGTGCCTCATTCTCTCCATGCTAAAAAATACACTTGTTTCGCTTCTGACTCCTCTGCATCTTCTTATGTTCACGATTCTGCAAAAACTATTTAAGTAACTATCTAGTTTTTTTTTTTTTTCTGGCGGTAGCTAATGGTACCCATTTTTTTCAAGGCATCCATTTTTTTCCAGCGCTACGTTAATAAACATTTTGTGGTAAGTACCGACACCCTTTTTAAGAAACTTTGTGGTGAGTACCGGCACCTTTTTAAACACTTTGAGGTGAGTACTGACACCTTTATGAGACATTTTGTGGTGAGTACCGGCACCTTTTTAAGACACTGTGGTAATTACCCTACCTTTTTAAAGACACTTTATAGTAAGTACTAGCACCTTTTTAAAGACACTTTATAGTAAATACTAGCACCTTTTTAAAGACACTTTTCAGTGAGTACTGGCAACTTTTTTATACACTTTGTGGTGAGTACCGGCACCTTTTTTATACACTTTATGGTGAGTACCAGCACCTTTTTTAAACACTTTATGGTGAGTACCGGCACCTTTTTTAAACACTTTGTGGTGAATACTGGCACTTTTTAAGGCATTTTTTTTAGCGCTGCGGTAATGGACACTTTGTTCTGAATACAGCCACTTTTTTTTTTATTTAAAGAAAGTTTATGCTGAGTACCGGCACCATTTTTAGGCAACTGTGGTGAGTACCGCCACCTCTTTTTTTTTTAAGGAAAAGAAAAAGCCCTGGTACTATCAAAGACAGATAACCTACCATTGTAAAAGGCGGAAGACCTCTGTGGAACGTTTTCATCCAAGTATGTGACACCCAAAGTGTACAGCGGGGTGGCGCCCGCTCCGTGCAACAGCTGACCCAGATAGAAGAAGTACTTATAGTTGGACAAGCTGGTGGAGCCGCCGGAGCTGCAGGAGGCGGTGTCGTTGGACTGGAGCTTGCACACGGTCTCGTCGGCATTCTCCACGTGGTAGCTGTCGGTGATGAAGTGGGGGAGGGCGAACACAAAGGAGCCGATGCCGAGTACGAAGATACCGATTCCTGGGGATGGACAAAATTGTAAGGTGCGGGTAAGAGATTCTCTACTCTCTCCTCATACTTTCTGTCTTTCAAATTCTCTACCTCTCTCCATATTATCCTCCTTTGTTTATCTTTCTTCATACCCCCTCTCTCACTTCCTCGCTTTCGGTAACCTTTAACCCCCCCCCCCCCCCAATAGTTATCAACCTTCTTTCTCTCTCTCACACACTATTTATCCATCCATCCAGCCAGCTATCTGTATCTATCTATCTGTATATTTGTCTGTCTGTCTGTCTGTCTGTCTGTCGGTCGGTCGGTCGGTCGGTCGGTCGGTCGGTCGTCTGTCTGTCTGTCTATCTATCTATCCAGAGATCCATCCATCTATCCATTATATTATCCATCCGTCTGTCTGTCCGTCCGTCCGTCTATCTATATGTCTGTCTGTCTATTCATCTTTCCATCTAAGATATCTACATAAGTCTTTGACATTATCAATTGCTCTTTACCTTTCTCTCTGTTTTGTCATTTTTAATCTCTCTCTCTCTCTCTCTCTCTCTCTCTCTCTCTCTCTCTCTCTCTCTCTCTCTCTCTCTCTCTCTCGGGCATTCTCAATTTTAATCGCTCTCTTTTTGTTGTCACACGCCTCTATTTGTCATTCTCTCTCTTCCTGTCTCAATTTTAACCTCCTCTCACTCCTTCAGGCCCATATACCCAGCCCACAACTCTAACTGACACACGTATCGATCACACACACAACACCTCATCAAGGTCAATGTATCCTCGACCGTATGCAGACGACATTTCTGCTGCCAGATTTACCGCCAAGAACCCGGCCATCATTTAATTAACGACCTCAATGGATTCGGCAAACGACGTTGTCGAATTTCATTACCCAGAGAAACGACCCAGCAGAGGTCAAGAGGCAGAACGTCCAAGCAAAGGAAACTAGAACTGGCTGGATCATTAAGATGGATAATTACATCCAGATACGAGCTTGCGACAGCTTGCCCGAGTGGGGTCAAGGGAGGTGATTAATACGGACAAACTGAATCACGTGGAAAATGATAGCGGACAAAAGCAAAATGTGTATGTTATGAGAACGGTTAAACTCATAGAGTGATAAAAATAATCATCATCAAGTATAAGCTTCTGCCGTTAAGTAACGTAGGAAGAAATAATGTTCCATCTAGTGTGCGCTGTACAGACACATATTTCATGTGATAAAGATGATAACGTTCAAATGTACAATGTGACACAAATGATAAGGGGTGAATACACAATGTAATAGTAATAAAAACCGACAAATACATAATGTGAAAATGATGAAAACAAATAATCAAACAGGCATTACAATGGGGAAAATGGATTAGGGAGACAACGAAGCCTAAGAGAAACCCTAAGAAGAACGTTGATGAGAGAGGCCAAAGCTGCTGGACTGGATTCTGTCCATGATACTGAACTGAGTGCACAGCATAGAACAAAATGGAGGAGTAGACCACGAACCCTATGTGCCATACAATGGCAAAACATCAAAATCAATGAATGAATCTTCTTCTTCTTCTTTGCGTTCGTATGCTCAGATCAGACAATCAGGTGGGTTGCCTCTATAAACTCGCGTTTCAGCAGCAGGTCCTTCATGGTTCCCCACAGCTTGCTCTGCACACTTTGCTCTTGAGGCCAGGTGTCTTCTCGAAGTTGCAGGTAGAGTGGGCAGGTCTGCAGAATATGCTGGAGTGTTTGGGGTCCTGTTTGACAGGCACACTGGGGGGACTGTACAATCTTTATTTTATGCGTGTGGTAGTTGAATGAATGAATAAAAAAAGGACAAATTATCCTGTAATATAAAATGATATTGGACACATGTACAAGATGATTAGACTCACACTTCTTCTTGCTTATGTATCTCTAGCCCCCCCCCCCCCTCACCCCGCTATTTTCCACACATTAGTTTTTAATTTGCTAGCCCCCCCCCCCCACCTCCACCCCTGCTCCCACCTACAGTTTTGTCCGTCACTGTCCGTTCCTGGCGGCGTCCGTAGCTTAGGCGTTGCGAGTCCGACTCGTAATTCCAACGTACCGCGATCGAAACCCACTGCTGTGGATTTGTATCATGGTATAGTGCGTCGCAGGTCGACCCAGCCTCAAATGGGTACCAGGATGTATGTCCTGGGGAAGTAAAGACGGCCGGCGTAATGCTGACCACATTACCCACCTAGTGCCGATTGGTCTGTAAAAATATGGGTGCTCTTCCCATATGCCCGATGCGTCTAAAGGGCGTGAAACAGCATCTTTACGTACTTACTTTTTTACGTTTACTATCCCTTCTTATCTCTGTGCACTCAAATCACGTCGGCTGCTACTGACCGTTAACCTTGAACAGCGCTTTCTGTCTATGCCCATAAACCAACGCCCCACTCAAAAGATAAGCTCTCCCGTGTCCAGACACAGCCATGGATTCCGTTACCTGTTTTGACAACATGAGCAACGTTTGCGAGCAGCAACAAAAAAATACACATCCTTCCCTTTATTTTCCCTGGATCTTTCATGTCAGTCGGTGAGTGGATGACAAGGGGGAAACTCGAACCATGCCACACTGCTCCAGTTTCTCTTTTCTCTCCCTGGATCTTACATGTAAGTACAGTGACTGAATGACAAGGGGGGAAACTCGAACCTTGCCCCACTGCTCCAGCCGTGGAGTGGCGCCCACAGAAAAGCATGGTCTGGTGCTGAATTTCAACGACCCCCGACTGGCCAGATCAACATCATGAAAACATCTGTTGGCGGTGTCTTAACTCTGTCAGTGGGAGATTAAAACAGCCGCTGTTTAAACAGATCTGGAAGGGAGTGATACATGCCTGTGTCTGGGACTCTCTCTCTCTCTCTCTCTCTCTCTCTCTCTCTCTCTCTCTCTCTCTCTCTCTCTCTGTAAATGTATGTGTGTGAGACCTGCGTGTGTGCGTGTGTGAATGAGGTCGAACAAACGAAGGGCATTTGTCTACAACGGGTTACACAATGGGCATGCAGGCCCCTTTTACATTCGGCTCTTCTGAACATTTATCTTTCAGACCGCATCTGTATTTTATCAATAAAGAATGTTACGATCATACTCGTATACTTAATACAGTATACATAAACGTATATATAATATAAAAATTACGATTTAAAAAAATATAACACACACACAACACACAAGCATGGATGGTAAATGCATGCGCGCACACACATACATACAAACATGCGCACAGAGAGACAGACAGACAGACAGACAGACAGACACTCATATCGTCTTTCCAAACAGTTGAACCCTCCCCCCCCCCCCCCCCCTCCCTTTTAGCGTATTTTTTAGTGCTTTGTTCGGATTTGAACCCACGATAATCGGATCCGCACGCGAGCTTCTAGTCGAAAGAGAAAGAGAGGGGCTAGGGGAGGGGGAGGGGGAGAGAGAGACAGAAGGGTGAGGAAGCTTATAGAATAAGCGGGGGAAAAAAATACAAATAAAAACACAGTGCAGGGAGGACCCCCCTCCCCACAATCTCCCAGGATTGTAGGATTTACATCTGAAGGATGAGAATCAAACGACTACAAATTCCAGAAACTCCGTTTAATGGCACAGCCAGATAGTACAGTTATACTGGGGGCATCACGGGTGGGTGACGTTTAACCATACCAGGACGGCACAACGAGCGATAACAAAGTGTCACCATACGGATGAGAATCCCCCGGGCACAAGTCCCAGAATTCTCCGTTTAACCGTTAGGTTATTTAACGCCCCATGGAGTCACTTAAGGTCCGGTGTGAGCGGGTCTGATACACATTAACGGGTCCTTCTGAAAATAAAACTTCCACTGCAAAAACTAATCCTAGTTCTCGGGGATTATTAAACTGTCAAACGCATTCACTAACTTCTAAGTCACAGACACACACATGGTTTACCAGCTGAGTGTTGTGCTCCCCCCCCCCCCCCCCAGGAAAAAAATGGTGCCGGTACTCACCGCAAGTGGTCTAAAAAAGTGCCGGCATTCACCACAAAGTGTCTATTACAGTAGCACTGTGGCCTAGAGATGTGCGTACTCTAGTGCCTATCGTCGCGTACTGTCAGGATAAAACAGCTGAGTTCTATCCATCCTTTATCTATGCTTAGCCATCCATCTGACTGACTGACTTTCTACCCCACTAGGACATCACACAAGCGATAAACACCCAATGACACAAAGTGCCACCATGCGGATGAGGATCGCCGTGGAGAGGTCCCAGAAACCGCGTTCAGACATTTGGCCATTTTTATGGCCTGCCTATATTGCGGCCCCTGGAAAAAGCCAGGGTGGAGCTTCAAATAACAAATTTCATCCTGAAATGGACGATAGAGATAGTACGATAGTACATTTGTGAGCCATCCATCTCCAGTCTACCGACTAAATAATATACCGCGCTTGTTTACGTCTCCTAAAAGAAACCATCTTTCATCTAGCCCAGACGGTGTTTAATTATACATAAGTACTTCCGCCCTGGCAGAACCATTCATCTACAACCGGGGTAGCGCAAATTTATGACTACAGCGGAAGCGGTATCTAATTATAATGACTGCCAAAGCATGGGCGCTGCCATTATTAAACCACTGACTGAAAGAGTCTTAACCCACTTATAATTTTCTAGGAGCTGGTCAGGGTGAGGGAGGCAGATAGCCTTGTTTATGTGCGCAACAAAAATACTAAATATATGACTACTACCGTTTGCTCCGGGTTTTGATGGTCATGGGTTCTTTTCAGAGCTGCGTAGTTCAGTTTACGAGTGCAATTTTTACGGAGATCCCTGGGGGTCATCACCTGAGCTACGGAGTTCGTGCTTTTGGCGAGGCTCTCAGCAGGCGGCTAGCCATTCTGCGGAGTGAGACCGAGCCATATGGGATAAGACCCAGTGCAATGAAGTCAATGCTCTCAACTTTAACCATAAACCTAACTTCTACTACGATCTGTTCCTTTTGTTCCTCGAACAATGGGACCCTGAAACCCATTTGGGGAAGCATATTTGGAGTTACAAATCCACCCAAAGTATTTCAGGATCCTCGCCGGTGCTACGGAACTAGTGCACTGCGCTGAGCTTCTTCGGACTCAGACTTGAGTTAGAAGTTGAACGGAGCACTGATGGTGAGGTAAAGGTAAAGTCGGGAGATGTGAACCAGCATCATTGCACATGGTTATAAACCATAAGTGCTCTGCCACCAGTACGGACAGCTGATAAGAACTGTCCGCCTGTGTCCACGCGTAACTCTGTGGCTACAGCGACGTTCCTCTATTTACCCCAGAGTGTCAACTCTGGAACTTATTTCCTAGAGGCTGTGTCAACCCCGGGAGCCGTCCGGTTTCGAACACCGACCGTGGGCTGCAGCGAGTCGCAGCTGGATTTGAAAGCGAGCTTCTCATCGACTGCGCTCATGAGGCCCCACGGAGCACCTATGGGTTACTACCCTTGTGCCATGATGTCGATCGGTTGTTTAAACCTAAACCTACTACGACCCGCATGTGTTCCGGAGCCCTACTGTGAGGAAATAAGAACAGACACACTGCCTTCCAAGCAAACATGTCGTAAGATTCGATTAATTAGAAAAGAATAGGAATTGTATAAACACATTTAAAAAAAATACTATAGACATAGTTGTCAGCGTCTGTGACGTAGGCGCTGTGAACGCGCTTCGCGATTCCAGAGGTGTCGGGTTTGATCCCAGCTGCGGGAAATTTGGTAGCAGAAAAACTTACGCCGGTTTCAAAGAGGGCATCGAAAACCAGTCTTTTAGAAAGTATTGGCAAACTTCTTCTTCTTTATGTCCATACCGTGGGGCGTTGGTGGTCATGTGTATCCAAAGCCTTCTGTCTCGTGTACTTTTAATCAACTCTGACACAGATGATCATCAAGGCCATGATGTCAAACTGTCCGGCATCTTCTTTCTTGATCTCCCTCTGCCTTTCCTACCTTCCATATGTCCTGCTGTCACGATGTACTCCAGTTTTCGCATTCTGTTCACATGACCAAAGAATGTAGATTGTCTCTTTCTGATGTGGGCAATGAGTTCTCTTCGTGAGTCAGCTTCTTTCAAAGTAAGATATAAACCCGAAAGAATATATATAGGCGAGCTTTACAATATAACAAACACGAACAACATGTGAACGTTGCGGCTATGGAGCCTTTATCAGCACATTCACAAATTAGACATGACTACACAAAGAAACAAAATCACTTATCTTTGTATCTCGAAGAAGCTAGGTCGATGTCTAGCCAATAGATTGACCGGAACACGGGGGAAGGGGGAAAAAATATCTCGGGAAAAGTTTCTTTCAGGACATCTTCATTTCTCCTTTTAACGGCAACGTTAATTAGTTGCGTCTTCTTTACATGACATTACAAAACCTCAGCATTTTTGGGTGTTGTGTTTTTCTAGGCAAATTTACGTCCGGTAGTTTGCCACTGCTTTCTGCTCGGTCGGCTTCTCGATACCGTTGTCGAAACCAAGGGAAGCATAAGGTCTGCAGCTGGGATTGAACCCGGCCCCTTGACATTAGGAAGTGCGTTCGCAACGTCTAAGCCACAAAGGAACGGCGAACTACTGAAAGTAAAACTGCTTGGTGACACCACAAACAGCAAACAATGCTGGGGTGAGTTCTGCCACCTCCTGTGGGGATATGCAACTAACCTTATTTTATAAACAACATTGGGTGAGGCAGTTAGCAGCTCACCCCCACCCCCAGATTAATGAGGGGACTCCGGTTCCTGAACAATCTGGGAGCGGGGGGACTCAAGGTAATTGAGCCTTTAGATCCCGGCGCCTCTGAGGGGCAAGTACAGTAGCTACTGGGTTAACGAGATCCCCAGGATATGCCCGTCGACGGCACTCAATCGTCGGGATGGTGCTACTTACTTAGGTGGAATCAATCTACTCTAGATGCCGAGTGTTTGTGATGCAAGCTCATCTAAGAACGAGAACCCAACGAGGGGCGAAAGTCGTTGCGGAGTGCTAGATAACGGACTGGCTTGTCAAAACAGCAGTGAAGGACGAGTTAGTAGAGAAGGGAATTTTTTGGTTTTGTGCGCCTGGCGTTGTTTTCGCCTATTAAATGGTAATGAAAGGAGATATAACTGCTTTCCAGCTGATCTCTCTCTCTCTGTCTCTCTCTCTCTCTCTCTCTCTCTCTCTCTCTCTCTCTCTCTATATATATATATATATATATATATATATATATATATATGCGCGTGTGTGTGTATGTGTATGTGTGTGGTAAAACGACCCCCCCCCCCCCAGTATATCTATAAAAGCACTTGCCCAAGTACTGTGGTAAAACGACCTACCCTCGTATATGTAAAAGCACTTGCCTAAATCCTGTGGTAAAACGACCTACCCTCGTATATATGTAAAAGCACTTGCCCAAGTACTGTGGTAAAACGACCTACCCTCGTAGACAAGTAAAACGACTTACCCAAGTATTTAGGCTTGTGGCCCTGGCCCCCGAAGTAGGAGATGGGGATGACCAGTATGACGAACATGATGTCGTAGCAGCTGGCGATGAGGCCCGACTCAGTGCTGCTGATCTCAAAGCGCCGCTCTACCGTGGAGATGACAGTGTTGACAAACCCGTTGACGGCCATGCCCTGGAGAAAGTGGAGATTGTGTTAACTTGTAGGTTTATAAAGACAATTATGTTAGTTGCGTATCCTTGACAGGACACTGCAGAACCAACACCAGCACTGGCTGTTGTGGTGTTTCTAGGCAAATTTACGTCCAGTAGTTTGCCACTGCTTTCTGGACGGTCGAATTCTTGATGCCACTGTCGAAACCAACGCAAGGCGCAAGGCCCGTAGCTGGAATCGAACCCGGCACCCCGGCATTACGAAGCGTGTGCGTAACGCCTTAGCCACAGACGCCATTAAGACAAAACATTCAGAACAGCTAGCCGCCAGCCGAGAGAGTCGCACAAAACACGAACACCGTATCTCCAGCGATGATCCTAAGGGATCTCCGTAAATAAACTGCATCCCTGAACACAATGAAGCAGCCTTGACCGCCAGGTAAAGTGCTTAATCACTTGCCCCCCCCCCCCTCCCTCCCCACTTTCCACCTCAAAAAAAAGGAGGCTGTTAATATAACAACAGCTTGGTAGTGACAGTTTACGTTCCCTCTCCACTTTGTAATCCAGTGAATGATTGCCTGAGTATGTCCTCCCAGCCAGAGTCCTATCCTGTCAATCTGCAGTGCCCTTATTCTCATTACTTCGACTGCCAGGGATTACGCTCCCGCCGTTGCCGTGTTTTCCCCTCCTCCCACCGCTCCACTTTCTCGTCTACTACAAACGTACGCGGCGTTAAGTCTGTCCATCTTTCCTGGCCCTGCAATGTAAACAAACCTGACTTTGGCGCGGTCCCTACCCCGCCCCTCTTGTTTTTCCTGCTGTGTGTACATTGTTCTATGTTAGGCCTTTCTGTCCTATCAAATACTGTTACCTTACCCGGCGTGCTTTGCTGTGTTTTAATTAGCTTTCTGTGTAATCAGGTTCTTGTCATTATAGTGTGTACTTATCTGTATCTTAACAATAATACTGTTGTTGCTGCTGATGATGAAAAAGAGGAAAGCAGCAGAAGCAGTAGTAGTAGTAGTAGTAGTAGTAGTAGTAGTAGTAGTAGTAGTAGTAGTAGTAGTAGTAGTAGTAGTAGTAGCAGCAGCAGCAGCAGTAGTAGTAGCAGCAGCAGTAGTAGTAGTAGTAGTAGTAGTAGTAGTAGTAGTAGTAGTAGTAGTAGTATTAGCAGCAGCAGCAGCAGCAAACGTATCAGTAGTAGCAGCAGCAGCAGCAGCAGCAGCAGAAGAAGAAGAAGAAGAAGAAGAAGAAGAAGAAGAAGAAGAAGAAGAAGAAGAAGAAGAAGAAGAAGAAGAAGAACATCAACAACAACAACAACAACAACAACAACAACAACGACGACAACAAATAGTAGTAGTGGCAGCAGAAGCAGAAGAAGAAAAGAAAGAAGAAGAAGAAAAAGAACAACAACAACAACAATAGTAGTAGTAGTAGTAGTACGACAACAAACAGTAGTAGTAGTACGACAACAAATAGTAGTAGTAGTACGACAACAAATAGTAGCAGCAGCAGTAGTATAAGTTTGAGTAGCTGCTTTCTAGCACTCTACCTAGAACCTATTTAAGGCCGACCTATTAAGACAGCGCATTCAGGGTAAATATGTACAATTTCTTCTTCTTCTTCTTCTTCTTCTTCCTCCTCTTCTTTTTCTGCCGCCAATGCCGCTACGTTCGCAATTACAATAGAGATTAGCACACTGTGTTATGGTTTACAGCTAGGCTTAGATATCTGTGCCATTCTGCCCAAAGCATCCGAGTCCAACAAGTCCCCCAATTAACTACCGTTTAATTCATTCTTTTTAAAGGTGGCAGCTGGAATACACCCCCTCCCTCCCCCACATGCCCCTCATAACCAACATAAGGCGCTCTCTACCAGCAACCAACATGAGGCGCTCCCAACCAGCAACCAACATGAGGCGCTCTCTACTTAGCAACCAACATGAGGCGCTCCCAACCAGCAGCCAACATGAGGCGCTCCCAAGCAGCAACCAACATGAGGCGCTCCCAACCAGCAACCAACATGAGGCGCTCCCAACCAGCAACCAACATAAGGCGCTCCCAACCAGCAACCAATATAAGACGCTTCTCACCATCAACCAACATGAGGCGCTCCCAGCCAGCAACCAACATGAGGCGCTCCCAACCAGCAACCAACATGAGGCGCTCCCAACCAGCAACCAACATGAGGCGCTCCCAACCAGCAACCAACATGAGGCGCTCCCAACCAGCAACCAACATAAGGTGCTTCCAACCAGCAACCAACACGAGGCGCTTCCCACCATCAACCAACATGAGGCGCTCCCAACCAGCAACCAACATAAGGCACTCCCAACCAGCAACCAACATGAGGCGCTTCCCACCATCAACCAACATGAGGCGCTCCCAGCCAGCAACCAACATAAGGCGCTCCCAACCAGCAACCAACATGAGGCGCTCCCAACCAGCAACCAACATGAGGCGCTCCCACCCAGCAACCAACATGAGGCGCTCCCAACCAGCAACCAACATGAGGCGCTCCCAACCAGCAACCAACATAAGGCGCTCCCAACCAGCAACCAACATAAGGCGCTCCCAACCAGCAACCAACATAAGGCGCTCCCAACCAGCAACCAACATAAGGCGCTCGCAAACAATATGAGGCGCTTCCCAAGAATCTCACACTGATAACATCCCCGGCTCCTGTATCATCTCGGGCCCCTGCTGGTTCATCTTACACCAGTCGGGCGGTCAACCACAGGGATGCGGGAAACGTTTCTAAAATCTGGTGCTGGGGAAATAAACACACTGCGCCCTGTTTCTAAGACACACAGGAGTTGGCATTTCAATAAACAAAAGGCTGTGAAGGAATGTCAGATTAAGGCAACGGTGAAATTGGTGTCGATTCTAGAGAAAAACAAAGAGGGAAGCGGTGGGAAAAGGGGGGGGGGGAGGGACTTTTTCCCCCTCTGATGAGCTTTCTCAGATAATATATAAATTTGAGACGCTCTAGCGGAGTTTGAACTTGTGTACATAAAAAAGCTAAGCGTTATAACCCCCCTCCCCACTTCCCATTTTTTTCCTCTTTCTCTCTCTTTCCCTATATATATATATATATATATATATATATATATATATATATATATATATATATATATATATATATATATATATATATATATATATATATCAGGGTTTTATATATATATATATATATATATATATATATATATATATACACACACACACATTTTTTATGTGTGTGTGATACACATATATATGTACATATACATACACATAGATACACAAACACATATATATATATAGGGCGTTTGTAAAGTCTGACAACACTTTGTATGCAGAAAAAAATCGTGCAAAACGGAAATTATTATATCACTTTGAAAAAAGTGCTAAAAGAAGTAATTAAATTAGTTAACAATAATTACTGCTATATACTAACGCTCTTTTTTGGTGAAGCTGAAAAGTACAATAAATTTATTAATCAAACAACTTTTGGAAATGTCCACCACGTGTTTCAAGACAAGACCATCCGAGTGTATTGAAAATGTCCACCATGTGTTTCAAGACATGACCATCCGAGTGTATCGAAAATGTCCACCATGTGTTTCTTCAAGTGCATGGGACTGACTAAGAAGAAGTCCAAGTCCGACTAAGAAGAAACTCCACAGGGGAGCATGTACAGCCGGAGTCTACCAGTCGTCAGTAGAAGTAACCTCTCGTCGACAAATGTTTCGGCCCACGAGCTCCTAGACATTTTCAGAGAGCGGGCCCACCTGAGTTCATGAGGCTCAGGGTTGATTTTCTCCTGCTGCACGTATTACCGGATGTTATCGGACAGGGACAAGAGGACATTGGTGACTTTGCAAAAGGTACTGTGAGATAAGAAGTCGTTGCGGTAGCATAATTACAGCAGTCTGCATACCTGGACGACCGAGTGACAAGCTTACGTTTGGTATACCGGACACATGTTGGACTTTGTAGGCAGGTGGCAGAGTGACACTGGCAGACAATTCGGACACGATGGACTTTAAGGGAAAGATATTCTTTTCCACTAGACACCCGCACTAGCTCACCGAGGCCCGTCCCTCACGACTAAAGTGGAGAATATGACCAGATGGTTCAACAATAGTCAACACCCGATTACTTAACAACAAAAGGTGTTATGACATTTAAAAAAAACACACATTTAAAAAACCCCTGCTAACTGGGGACTAATAACAATGAAACATCCCTGCTGTAAACTACATTTTCTTTATGTTAATCGAGTTTTCTTCTTGAGCGAAATCGTGTTAACGAGGTGTTCGTGTAGTTTCATTTCCTTCGACTCCCACAGATTTGCTAGGGGGCTACGTGGTCTCGAGGCATGGTGTCCGCCTTGAGTGCTAGAGGTTACTAGTTAAATCCCTGGTAAGGGCTGGGATTTTTCCACGTGGACGCGGACTTCTAGTAATTTCCCATAGTCTCTGAGTAGTCAGATCGGGCGCCCGTGTCAAATTTTGCGCACGTAAACAAAATCCCTTGGCAGTTGGAAATCGAAAAGAGTAGCCTAACGGCGCTGATTTAAAGTTAAAAATCTACCCAAAGTATTTCAGGATCCTTACCGGCGCTACAGAGTATGTGCACTGTGCTGAGATTCTTCGGCGACTACCGCCACCGCCGAGAGTATCTCATAAGCCGCTCAAGCGGCGTGGATTGGGGGTTAAAAAAAGTGGCTAGGACTCACGAGCAAAGCTGCAGGAGATGCGGAAGCTGCTGCTCGCCTGTATATAATACAAAATGTGTAAACAATAACTTGTGAAGAGAATTTATATACATTAATAAAGGAGGCAGAGGAGCGGCTGGCTAAGCGGTTACAACGTCGGTATCACATGTGGGAGATCCGGGTTCGATCCCACGTAAGGTGGCATTATTTTTTTTTTCTGTGAGTGGCAAAATTAAACAGCCCTTAAAAGTGGTAAATACAGACAGTAGTGACAGCTACAGCAGAAATAAAAGGAGCCGCTTACACTACTTACAAATGTTG